GGGGGGGGATCCGGGGTGTGAGCTAAGGGGGTCCAGGGCTGGGCTAGGCTGAGGGGAATCTGGGCTGGGGGCCATGGGCTCTGGGGGGATCCGGGCAGGGGGCAGCAGGGTCCATGCCGGGGGCACTACGGAGGGCACCCTAGAGTAGGGCACTGCGGGGCGAGGTGGTTGGGCCCTTGGTCCAGTCTGGTGCGGGAGCGCTCGGGGTAGGAGCTGGGCACTCAGGACAGGGCTGTGGATCCACCTGGCAGCTCCTGCTCCGGGCCAGCGCCTCCCAAGCCTGGTATGCCCGGTACAGAGCAGCTCCTGCGGGTGGAGGAGACCCAGCTGCCCTGTCGCCCCGGAGGGTCCCTGCTGGATGGGGCTGAGGGCAGGCGGGCATTGGTGAATCGAGAGGTTCCTGCCTGGCAGGGCTGTGACCCCAGGGCAAACTCACAGACCAGTACGAAGTCCTGGCCCACGTGCCCGAGCCCCAGAGCCCTGGGGAAGGCCCCTATCCGGCCCAGTGGCTCTGCCACAGCTGGGAGTGCTTCTGACAGGCCCCCCCGGCTAACATGGTGGGGTTGTGCTTCTCTCAGGTCCCGTGAGTGGATGGGGATGGAGCCCACGGAGACGGACTACCAGAAACAATTCCAGGCCGCTGTCAGAGTCATTCAGGGCCTGCCTAAGAACGGTGAGTCCAGCATGCACCGCAGACGGCCTAGCGTGGGCTTTGCCGGCTGGATGTTGGGATGAGTTTCCATGTAGGCGAGGCTGAAGCTTGGTCACTTGGAACTGGACAAAGCCTAAGTGTCCAGTATGGACAGGCCTGTGCCGTCGCCCAGGAGACAGACTAGATGGGAACTAATGGACTGTCTCATCCTCCACCATGTGTCACATCACAAAACACCCTCACCATGGGCATGGACTGGTCCTCTCGTTGGCAGTCTCAGTAGAGAGGCCGAGGACTGGAAGGCCACTGAACTCTCCATCTCCTGCCACTAGAGCTGGCTCCCCAGAGCAGGGCAGAGGCAGACTGAGTGAAGGGCACTGTGCTGCTGCTGCCCGGCGTGTATCAGTCCCCAGGACTCTCAGCCAGCACTTCCCACTTGCTGTAAGCACGCACGCAAGCTCAGCTTGTAGCGTTTCTGTGCTCAGACCCTGCGGTGCTGGGGCGGATGCTAGCTAGCGCTTGGAGAACACAGCTTAATTCCCAAATAGCCTGGTTCTGCAGCGCTGGCTCTAGTAAAAGGGTGGAAAAAATGGGTTTCTATCAGTTAAACTGTGTGACGTTGACAAGGTGCCACTTCACAGTCAGGTTTCTGACTGTAGCCGTGCTTTGGTGTCCTGTCCTGGCAAATCAGAATTCCACTGGCAATTACACCAGGGAGGATAAGAACAAAAGGTTGTTAATTCTCATGCTTCAGGCCACACACTCATCACCGGTGGGCGGTCAGGAAGGAATCTCTCCTTTGTAGGCTATTGTACAGTTAGGTGCGTACATGGAGCAGAGGGACTCCTTTTCCTGGAGCATGCTGCATTGGCTGCTCCTGGAGGCAGGATACCGGAGTGGATGGGCCTTTAATCTGTTCTGTTCTGGCAGTTCCTATGGGCCTGATCTCCAGAGGTGCCGAGCACTTGCACTTCCCATAGACTTCAGTAAGGAGCTGCATGTGCTTAGCAGCTGTGAAGACCCGGTATTTATTTATGTACTTGTCTTTGGGCCACCCCACCCCCATGCTGGAAAATCTTGGCTCTGATGCTTTAGGCCATGTGACATTTCAGCTTACACTTAAGAGGAAAAAGGAGATGAGAAAGACATGGTGACCGATCCGCTTTGTGCAGCCTTTTGTACCTGGCATCTGCCCTCGTTGTTTCTCTCCCTGTATTAATAGCACCTGATGGTATAAGGGGCTTCCCGCCCCAAAACACAAACACAGTTTCACTCGCCACTGAAACACAGCTACCTCTGGGGTGGAACGCAGCCACTTTTTAACGGTGCACAGCAACACTACGCATCCTTTGAACTTTCCAGCTAAAACTGCAGGGGTATTTTCGGGAAGCAGAATGTAACTGAGTGGGAATTGAGCCAGGATTGTGGTTACCGCCCTGACTCATGGGTCCTTCAATGACCAAATGGTCACCTCAGCGCCATGCCTCTCTAAAGGGCAGAGCTCCAGCAGTAGGGATGAGTGCTGGTCTAGTGGGCAGAGCGCCACCTACTGGCTCACAGCATCAGGATGCGTGTAACCGGCCCTGAGTGGCCCTGGTGGGGAAGTGGTCGCAGTCCCTCTGCTCCTGCTCTGATGGCTTTGCGTGTGTTCTAGGGTCCTACCGCCCCCCCTACGAGGTGATGCTACGGTTCTACAGCTACTACAAGCAGGCGACAGTGGGCAGCTGTGAGATCCCCCGGCCTGGATTCTGGGATCCCATCGGCCGGTATAAGTGGTAAGGCTGAAACAGTAACTGCTTGGCATGAGTGCTGTGGCCTGCAGTGCAGCCTTGTTCGTGGGGCATCAGTCATGAGACCTTCTGGTTGGCAGGGACGCCTGGAACAGGCTGGGGAAGATGTCCAGAGAGGAGGCCATGGCAGCGTATATCTCGGAGATGAAGAAGATAGCCCAGAAGGTACAGAGCTCCTTGTTTCCCTGCTGCGTGCAGCTCCTGGGGCTGCTCCACTCGCTCCCCATGTGCCTTGGGACACCCTGGAAGCAGTGCCCTCGGCATCATCCCTGGTGGAGTGCAGGCCACGTGGTACCCACTGGCACAGCTGAGGGGCTCTGGCTGAGGAGGGCCTGGATTCAGAGTCGTCAGAAGGTGGGGAGGGCAGGGCGCTGGCAGTGCTGAGGAAGGGCCCCAGGCTGGGAAGAGCAGAGGTGCCCTGGTAGAGCTGTGGGGGGGAAGCTTTCGGAGCCCGCTTGCCACAGCCAACTTGCCATAGGCAGCAATGTCGGTCCCTCCCTCTCCCAGACACTGCGCTCTGGCCCAGGGTTTTAACGACCATTGCCTCAGCGCGGGATTCTCCATCTTCCGACTTGGCTACATACGAGCTGTTGGTTCTCTGCAGGTCATTGACACGATCCCGGCGGGCGAGATGTCTGAGGACGTGTTTGGGTTCTTCGAACCTCTCTATGAGGTGATACACGACATGCCCCGGCCCCCCGAGTCCTTCTTCAAGAAGAAGGCTGGTAAGCCTGGGGCATTGGGAGGGTGGCTGGGCTGGGCTGAAATGGGCAGAGCAGCAGCCTGGGAGTCAGGACTCCTGGGTTCTAGTCTCGGCTCTGCCACTTCCTTGCTGCAAGGTCTTGGACAAGCGGCTTCACCTCTCTGTGCCTCAGTTTCCCCATCCATGAAATTATACTTCCTTCTGCTGGTTCCCGCATGCCCTAGCCCATAAGAGAAATGGCCCGTCCCTTCCGGCTCCTGGCCATCCATCGCAGGCACTGATCTGGCCCTTCCTCTTCCTGTCAACCTGGACTCCCAGGTGGCATGCCCTCGAGGGCAGTGCGGCCTCGGCCCAGCTGCATCCAGCAAGCTGGCATTGCCCGACGTGGGTTTGTGCAGCAGAGGCCGAGCCCCTCGCCACCCCACTGCTGTGAAGGGGGGGAGTGGGGAATGAGATTACAGGGACCTGGAGGTGCTGGCCCTGGGCTTGCTCCTGACTAGAACTTGCGCCCAGTTTATCTCCATGTTCCTGAGACAAGTGATTGTATGTGAGAGGCTCAGACCCTCCTCTACAGAGTGGGAGGAGGGCCAGGCTGGGCTGCAGGGATGCAATGGTGTTCTGACTAGGCTCCGCCCTCCTTCCTGTGCCCCGCCCCCCAGGGCAGGACACTGACTGCCCAGCTGCACAGCGTGACTGACAGCCTAGCTGGGGTTGTGTGGTTAAATCTGGGAGCCCAGTGTTAATGGAGACATCCCCTCTGACCTTTAAAACATCAGCTTGCGCTTGCTTCCTCGCCGGGAGCGTTCATATCAGGGTCACTCGAGCTGCCACCAGCTGCTTTGGTCTGAGGGCAAACTCCTGCTCTGCCACGCAGACGGTGGCTCTGGCTGTGGCTGCTGGCGGAGCAGGTATCTGAGCAGAGATCTGCCCTTTGCACTTGGAGCATGTCCCTGCCCTGGAACCGCTGATAAGTGTTCGTTTGGCTGCCGCCAGTGCTTCGCCTTGCTGGTTGAGCCGTGAAATCATGAGGGGTAGGTTCCCCAGGGAGCAGCAGGAGAGCAGCGTTGAAAACGAGTCCTGCTATGGGGCTGGCCTGGGAACTGCGAGCCGGGCTTGGCGGGGCAGTGGGGGGTTCCCGCTGAAGAACAGCCCTGGAGCACCCACGGAGTCGGCATCTGTGGCACTGCGTGACTGGCTTAGACCCTGCAGCAGGAGGGCCTGTATCTAGGGGAACTCCGTGGTCTTGGCCTCATGTCAGTGCTGGATCCTCGTTGGAACCTGTGGGTGATAGAAACGTGCTCTGTTGTCTCCAAAACGGAAACGCAGAGCCGAAGCTACCAGCCATTGCCCATCTCAGGGGGTCTCCATTCGCGACAGCATGGCGCGCCCCGCCCCCGTAAATCTGCACACGTGGCCTCTGACTATGGATGGGACAACGTTGTTAATTCGAGACCTATGGGGAAGCTGTTGACTCAGGCTTCATACAGAGTGAGAGGAGGCGGCTGCTTAACTCCTGATTTAAATCACTTGGTTTGTTTTTAGTCATTGATTTAAATCAGGATGAAGATTTGTAAAAACTAATCTGAAAGTTTGTCCTGTTGCAGCTCTAGGTTTAAAATGGATGAGCTCAGTTCAAAATGCTGGTGTTTGGTAGGGTTGCCACCACTGGTAGGGTTTCCTGTTTGAATTCTATAGAACTGCTATAAGAACATCAGAATGGCCAGACTGGGTCAGACGAAAGATCCATCTAGCCCAGTATCCTGTCTACCGACACTGGCCAATGCCAGGTGCCCCAGTGGGAATGAACAGAACAGGGCGGGGCCTCATGGAAGGGGTGGAGTGGGGGCAGGGCCGGGGGCAGCGAGGGGGTGTGTGTCAGTGATTCGGCCCTCGGGCCAATGAACTAGCCCTCATGTGGTCCTCGTGGTCATTTGAGTTTGAGAACCCTGAGCTAGAGACACCATCCCTGCCCATCCTGGCTAATAGCCATTGATGGACCTATC